CGCTCCTGGCAGCGCTCTGCGGTGGCACCGTGGCACAGCGTGGGTTCTGGGCTGCTCAGCCCAGCTGCCCCTTTGCAGCCCTTCTGCACTGCCGAGGTGATGTGAGCTGCTGTCCCTGGGATCCTTCTTGTCACTCCAGGTGCCACTCAGAGCCACGGGGACCAAAACTGGCCCTGAAAAAATCTGTCCCAAGCTTGAGCAGGCTGCAAAAATAGAGCTGGGGAGCTGAGCAGGGAGGTGGTGCGGGGGAGGGCAGGGGGACATGGCTCCCATGGGGGCAGATTTGAGGGCAGGATGTCTCTGCCTGCCTTGTGGATGGGGAACCAGCGCTCCTGGGCACGTCAGTCTGTTTGCTGGTCTGTAGGAAGGATTGGGGTCAGGGCGGAGGAGAGCCCCTCCCATTGCCTTCTCTCTCTTGCAGTACATCTTTGTGTCGCTGATCTCCCGTGACAGTGTGTACGATGTGCTGCGGAGGGTCTGCACACACCTGCAGGTAACGCTGTGCGTGGCTCCCATCCCACTCTGCCTGTTTTCCATCCCAGCATCCCACTGGCTGTTTCTTGCTTTGGGGTGCGCTGTTGAGCTTCACAGAGCCAGTCCTGCCCACAACATCCCAGCAGGATGTGACCTGTCCCTGGGGTGTCACGCAGTGTCCTGTCCCCGTGACCTGTTCTGTGATCTGTGACCTGGGTCACAGATGAGAGGGACAGAGCCCTTGGAGTTCCTGTGCTTGCCCTTGCAGGGTGTGGAGAGGCAGTGTTTATAATCTGGTGGCTATTCCTGTTCCACCACTATGCACGTTGCTGACTTTTCCCCAGATTTCCTTATCCACATAGTGGAAAAAAATGCCACAAAGAAAAAATTCGTATTAAAAAGCCTGATATGAGGAGGAAACCCACTGCTCCTCGGGCTGGAGCGGAGAGGTGCTGGGAGCTCTTCTGCCTTTGAAGCATGTGGAAAGCGGTGCTGGAGCTGCTCCCAGTATTCCTGTTTTCCTTCTTCGTGGTTCATCTCCTCTGTGTTGTGTAGGGTTTTTGGGGAAATGGAAAGCAGTCCTGTCGGATCACAGTTTGAGTCAGAAGGGACCCTTTAAGTCTGCCATTGCAATGAACAGGGACACCCACAGCTCCATCAGGTGCTCAGATCCCCAGCATGACCTGGGTATCTGCAGGAACGGGGCAGCACTGCCTCTCTGAGCAAGCATTGAAGCAGCTCCTTTGCATAACAGCACACTGGTTGAAAATCTCAGAATCTAATTCTGTAACTTCCATTGGAGCAAGAAGAGGGAAGGCGGTCCAATCCTGTCTTGTCCTCTCTCCAGGTTTCGAGTAAGAAGAGCCTGAGCCTGAAGGAGCTGACGGAGGAGCCCGATGCCGTGTCCTTGGTAAGGGTCAGGATGCTCTGGAGGCTGAGGGCTCTGCTGCAATGCTTTAAAAGCAAAGGCCAAAGTGTGGGAGGTGTGCAGCCAGTGCAGCACTGCCACCCCCAGACACTCCCTGGGGCTCGCTGACGGATGCACAGCTTCTGATCGGTGTGCAAAGTGCCTCTGCTCTCACTGTGGCCTCCTGAACTGATGCAGTTTGCAGCTGCCAGCACTGATAATATGCTGGGCATGTGACTGAATCAGCCAAAAGAAAGGGACAAAAGCCCACTTGTTCTGTCGTGGCTGATGCTCAAGGAGCTGCTGCAGCTGTTGCTGGTCCTGGTGTGTGGCTCTGGGGCTACTCACAGTATCACTGAGCCACTGTGGGGCTGTGCTGCCGTAGGGTTGGGGGGTCTGGGCTGTCAGCATCCATGCATGCTGAAGCAGGGCTGCTGACAGTGACTACAGGATAGGCCACGTGGGCTCTGTGTGACTCTCCTGCTAAAACACATGCAAGGAGAGCGCTGCTTTGCAGCTCAAGTGGTGCCTGGGTGTTTGGTGTCACTGTTCACCTGGGGATCCCCACAGGAGGTGATTGTCCCTGAGGGCAAGTGGAGGAAGGTGTCACCTGCCTCGCTGTCCCTGTCCCTGCCTGATGCTGACTACCAGTGCATCCACCGGACCTCTGTCAGCAGCCTCAGCGCCAAGGAGAGCTTCACCTCTGAGGAGCCCCTGGCCTCAGGTGAGGGATGTGCCTGTGTGGGGATGCTGGGCAGGAGGAGCTGGGCATGCTGGGCTGGAAGAGATGGGGATGCTGGGCATGAGGTGGAGATGCCAGGCTGGAGGAGTAGGGCACACTGGGCAGGAGGAGCTGGGCATGCTGGGCACGAGGAGCTGGGGGATGCCAAGCAGGAGGAGCACTGGGCAGAAGCTGCCCATGCTGACTCCTCTCACCTTGCAGAAAGTGCAATAAATACAGAGGAGGAGCTGGAGGCAGAGCAGGGCTGCGTGGCAGAGCTGAGACCCTCTGACTACCAGCTCCTCAAGATCTTCATCGTGCTGTAAGTGTGCTGGGGCAGGCGGGATGGGGATACAGGACGCACGTGAGCATTGTAACTGTTTCTCCCACCTAGGATCTGCCTGCTGGTCGTGTCCTCCTCTTACCTGGCATTCCGCATCTTCCGCCTGGAGCAGCAGCTCTGCTCCCTCAACCGGGACTACCTCTCCCGCGGGCACAGGAGGTGAGGGACCATCAGGACGGTGTGATCCGGGGGATATTTTGAGATGGAGCAGCTTTCCCCAGCCACTCACTCTGCTCTTCCACAGGTGACCGTCACTCTGGCACAGGACAAGGACCAGGCAGTAGCACTTTGTGTACAGAGCCAGAGGGGCTGGAGCTGTCTTCCAGCTGAACCCTGTGACTTGCACGTGGCCCGGCGTCCCCTCGGCTGTAATATGGGACCAAACTCTCCTCTCCTGCTCCCTGCAGGACCATCTGCTGGCTCGTGGCCATGGCTGCCAACTCCCTGCCAATCCCTTTCCTCCCTGGCACACCGGGGGACGATGGCTTGGGGGAACACAAGCCTCCCTTTAAGACTTGCTGCTAAAACGATCACTGGTTTGTATTCCAGATAAGGGTTTTCTTGCTCAGAGATGACCCGAGGCTCACTGTGAGCCCTGTGACACGTGGATGGGCTGCTTCTGCCCTGCGTGAAGCTGGGACGGGTGCAGCTGCACCACTCTCTTTGTTTCTCTCTGTGACCCCCTCTTCCACCCAGATGCCGCAGGGATGGGGGGTGCCATGCTCCCCTGAGCCCCTCCGTCCTGGAGCAAAGGGGCACACAAAGCACTTTAGGGTCCTCCACAACGGGTGTCCTCGCTGGGGCCCGTGCCTGGGAATGGTGCTGGACCAAGGCTTCGTTAGCCCTGCTTGCCTCGTTAAGATGTCCCAAAAGGCCTGGCTGAGAACAGCCAGGGTCACGTTGTGTCCGTACGCGTGTCAGCCTTTGTCACCGTGCGGAGCCATGTGTTGGAACCCTTCCCCTGCGCTCACACGTCCGGTGCTGCGGTGTGCTGGGGAGATAGGGGATACCTGTGCGATTTCTCTGTTGTATTTTTCCTGTTTTTCGGGAACTAAAAGTGCTGATGGGGCCAAATCCCTGAGCCCTGGGGAAGAGCTGGCTGCCCGGCTCGAGGCTGTGAACGTATTTTAAATGATAATAAATGGTGATTTTTCTAGCAGTGCTGTGAGCATTCTGTGTCGACGCCGGGGTTGCAGCGGGACGTTTGGTGCTCCTGTGTGCCTGGCTGTGTTCCCTGGGTGCACAGAGTGAGGACGTGGCTCTGTGAGGCCTGCCCTGGCTTAGTGCTGGGGTGGTCCCGGCTGTCCCTGTGCCATGGCTGGAGATGGTGGTGTCCCTTTGGAAAGATGTCTCCAGCCCCAGGTGTCACCACGTGTGCCTGGCCGGGAGGCACAGTGCTCGTGTGGTGCTCCGAGTCCTTTCTCCAGCGCCGAGTGAATGCCACAAGGGGTCCGGAGGGATCTGGACAGATCCCCCAGCGTTTGTCTCTGTAAATGATGGTGCCGGGACAGATTTTGGGGGAACACGAGGCGGAAGGTGCCAGGGACGAATTCTACGCCAGGTGGCAGCAAAGGCTGCGGGATCTGTGCTGCGGCGGCGGCAGGAACCGCTTGGGGACAGCGGCCGGGAGAGACGGGTTGAGCCTTCCTCCTCCTCCTCCTCCTCCTCCTCCTCGTCGAGCAGCCCCGGCCCGCGTTCCCTGCCAGCATGAGCTGACCCTGGGGCACGTTTCGGGGATGCAATACGAACGGGACAAAGCGGGATGACGCCTCATCAGCTCCATTCTAGGGTGATTCTTTCAGCGGCTCAAAGTGGTTCTCTGTGCTGAGCTCTCCTTGGGATTACTTCCTTGTGTCTGTGCAGTACCGGCTGATTTTAACTCAGCGGGGAGCGTGTTTGGGGACTGAACTCAAGGCAGATGGTTTTGTCTTGGGTAGAAGAAGAGCAAAGTGGGAAGTACTTAACCATCTCTCACTGCTGTTTAGCAAAAAGCAAATCCACGTTTTGGGTTGTGTTGTTTCCCAGCCCTGAAGGTGAGGTGCCCAGCCGGAGCCGCAGGGCGCTGCCCGCTCTGCAAACACTGCAGCAGTACACGTGTGCTCATGCGGTGGTGAGTAAGGTGTGCACGTGGGCACTCCAAGCATAACCCTCCCAAGGCTCTGTAGGAACTTCTTCCGTGTCCCAGCACTGGAAATTGGCCTCTCCTTGTTTCCACAGTCTTCCATACAGCTTTGCAGGGAAGGCTTAGGATTTCTCTAATTAAAAGATGTTGGTGCTTGACCTCTCAATGTTGCTCATTGCCCAAAAATGAGTTTTAGAGGTTTGTTATTATTTCATCTCGTGTGCCCAGCTCGGTGTTTGCACTGCAGTACCACCCGTAGGCTCCTCATTCCCCCAGGTCAGGGTGCTGTTCCCCAAGGCCTGGGCTCCTTTATTCTGGAAGCTGGTTGTTTTCTCCTCCAGGTGTTTGCCTGCCTGCTGTGTGCCTGTTTGCTCTTGATGACGCTCAGGATGGTCCTATTTGCTTTTCTTTATGCAAAGAAACAACATGTAAAAGCTCGGGGTGCACCAGCCCTCCTTGGCAGCTTGGTCATCTCTGACAGCCCTGCCCTCCTTATAGGACAGAGGCGACTCAGGAGGCAGCTGTGTGTCACAGCCTTCAGACAAGATCTCCAAGTGCCTCTCTCCCATCACCTGCTGTCCTCGTGTCCCCGAGCAGTGCCTGGTCACAGCCTCTGCTCCGCCCACTCTGCTCTAAATCCCCCCTCTAAAGCAATGCTTCGATCACACCATGCAGTTCCTGCGCTTGCTGCAGTGCCACTTTGCTTTAGCAGCTGCAGGAGCGGTGCCTGGGAAGAGGAGGACTCCAGCAGCAAGTCAAAGCCCCCAGTATGATGCACAGAAACACACGGTGGGACAGCTGGGCACCGCCGTGCCGCTAGGTGCTGGTGTAAATACCACAACTCAGTCAAGAGTAGGGTTTACTTAAAGTTTTATTTGTGGTTCCCCCAAGAAAGAAGGGACCCAGGAGTTTTATTCCTTCACCCACTCCTCCCATTTGGGTACAGACGGGAGTTAACGCCATCGCACCAGACAGAAGTATTTGTTGGCATTAAACACACAGCTCATCCGCAACGTCTCTGAGACGCGACTGCACTGCGGGGTGCAGAGGTGTCTCATCTGGGGAACGGCGCTGGCTGGGCCTCGTAGAACCTACGCTCCAAAGGAAATTCCCTCAGCAAGAGACTCGATGCTTCTTTGGGGTTTTTGGATCCATCCGAGCAGTGGAGGTGATTTCCCAGGGAGGAAAGCCGCACGCTGCTGGCTGCTCACCTTTGGTAACGACTCAGAGCTCCATTGTGTGTGTGTGTGTTTGGAGCAGTGTGCCAGGCTGCATCTACTTACCTTTCTTAAAAACAAGGGGAGCTGAAGACACTTATGCCCCACACTACAGCTGGCCATCGCTGTGCTGGTGCTGCAAATGGGATGTGTGGGGAGGTGCAGGTTAAAGGAACTCCTCTGCCTTTTTGAGGGTTGTTTTTAACCTGGATTTCCTTGATCCAGTTGGCACCCGTGTGTTCTGAGTGTGGCAATCATGACAGAAGGGTATTAGGGACCAACATTTCAAACTTCAAGGAGACTGTTATCTTTGGCTTTTATACCTCAAATTCTGCCCCTTTGTTGTCCTTGTTTTTTTGTTTTTTTGTTTTTTTTTTTCTTAAATTGGGGTAATACAAAAAGTGCTTCTGTGCTACAGCAAGCACAGCAAAAGATAATGAGGGCTGGGGAATGGTGCAGCACCGTCCCCCAAAATGGAAATGACCTAAAATCATGAAGAAAAAAAAAGACTTCAAAGACAGAGCGTCACTTTCCATTTCAATTATGCTTCCTTTCCTAGGAGTTGTTTTCTCAGCTTCCTATTCACCTATTCATCTTCCAGTAGCTCAGAGCCAGGCTTTAATTTGTAATCAGAGCAAGCAGGGGTGGAGAAGGAAGAAAAAAAAGGAACAAAAAAAGAAAAAAAAATAAAGCTACCTTCATACAGGCAAGGAGCAGCTATCTGTAGAACACTGATTTTTGCCCCATTCTGCAATTCACTGCAGCATTTCCTTTTGAGTCTGATCACTGGGCATATCTCACTATCAAGTGTTTGAGGGAACTCCAGCATTGCTGCTGCAAACACCCAGAGCTGGAGGTGCAGATGAGGGCTGTCCACAATAAAGCATTCTGTGCTTGGTTTTAACAGGCATTGCTAAACCAGAAAGGAGCAGCAATGCCCCCTAATTAAAGCCACCTAATGAGGGTGCGTTACTTGCTGGGCAGAGGTGAAGTCTCTTTAGCACCCCATTTTGCCACAGCAATGAGCGTAAAAATCAGCACAGACAGGGAGATTTCTTTGAAAGCCAAGTGACTTCATTGGTGGGAAGCTGAAAGGCCGGTGACTTCCAGAGGAGACTAAGGCTTTGTGAGGAGGGCACTGTGGGTTGGAACCATGCTGAAGGAGTTACATTCTTCTTGAGGGGAAAAATCCTGAGCGTGGGCACCTCCCTCAGGCACTGAGAGCGGCGACTTGAGAGCACCCAGATCACTTCTGTGTGAGCTTGGTAATGAGAGCTTTCCATTCGCTTCTCTTCTGTGTGATGTAGGAAGGGGTGAGGAGCTGTAGCAGAGGCTCTTGCTGTTCCCTGAAGTACCCTTGGCACAGAGCCTCGGTGTTGCAGATCACATACATCCCGCAGTCATAGCTGTTCTGCTGGGCCGGCGCCTTCTCCTCCACGAAGGTTGCTTTGCCTCCTCTTTTCCCCAGGAAGGCCTCCAGTTTCCCTGCCACTTGCTTGGCATGAACAGAGTTGCACTTGCTGTGGGAATCGTAATGGGCAAAGCACTTTTTGTCCCTGAAGTAAACCAGTAAGCTCCAGTGGGTGCCCCCTGCTGCCTGGTTGGAGTTATCATTGATGGGCAGGAACACCAGCTTCTTGTGAGGCAGGTCCAGTGGCTGAAGGAATATGGCTATTTCGTCCTGGCTAAGGGCACATTTGATGAACTGAGCCACTTCGGGGCTGATAAAGCAAATCTGATCACTAAATTCTTGGAACTGGTCGCTGGCAAAGTACTCAAAGGCAAAACCAATGATGTGGTCGTTGAGCCAGTTCGGAGGGTCCAGCAGGGCAACATCTGACTGCCTCAGCAAGCTGTCCATGTAGCTGAGAACCACAGGGTCCATCCTGCACCCGGTGGGACCACTGCGCTCCAGGAAACTTCAAAAGCTGGAAAACAGAAAGGGTAGAAGAGGAATTATACAACAAGACCACACCTTTGACAAGATACCGTGCCACAAACATCCTCCTCAGCAGGCAGCCAGCAGCAGAGCGAGTCTCCCAGGGCAGTATCTGAAGGATCAACACAGGCAGCATCTGCCAGGCGCAAGGCTGAGAGGCGCGCTGTGCGACGGGCTGAGCCAGGCTCAGGGAGCAGCACCGATTTCACGGCAGCAATCTTCACCCGTGGGCGATCTCAGAGCAATTCTGTTAGTGGTGCAGCACAGGTGTGGCAATCGCTGCGATCCCTGCAGCCCTGCTGTCTGTGAGGGCTCCTGAGGGCTGGCATCAGCAGGGCTGTGCGCTCCCTCAGCACGAGGCCCGCCGCAGGATGACCGAAGCGGTCGGTGTAGGTGAGTAAAGTGGAGCCTCACAGGGTGACAGACAGCAGCTCTGTGCTGCGGGGACTGCACGCAATTCCTGCGTGGGATTTCGGTAATTCATGTACCAGTGAGGCAGGAAAGTCCACCAAATATCCGTCACCAAAGCAAGGCTCGCCAAAGGTAAGCGTTCTGCTGGCTACTGCAGGCTTCCTGGATTTTAATTAGCAATCACGTTGCCCGAGCGTGCTATGATGTGGCGACCTGTAAGCTGGAAGGGCGCAGCGCACCAGACGTCCCGGCCCTGCGTGGCACATGACGCAGTTCTGCCTTACAAGCAAGCCTCACACCGCCTTCCTGCTGCCTTCGTTCCCAACGGCAGGACGCGCCGCAGCGGCCCGGCGGAAGGCTGAGGCCCGACCCTCACGGCCACGCGAGGCCCCGCGCCGCCCCTCCCGCCGTGCCCTCAGCGCCCCGCGCCCTTCAGCGCCCCGCTCCTCACCTGCCGCCTCATCGCCCGGTTGCCGGGCGCCGCCGTAAAGCAGCGCGGCGGGGTGTCGTAACGCGAGCCGGGCGGGGCGGGGCAAGGCGGGGCGGGGCGGGGCCGACTCCTCCCCTCCCCTCCCCGCGCTCCCCCCTCCCTCCCCGTGGCGGCGCGCGCCTCAGAGCGGCGCGCGGGCAGCGGG